CCACCTCCCCACGTCCCAGCGTCGGAAGAAGCAGTGAGTGGTCGCTTTCCTGGGTATCACTTTCACTCCTCTTTGGGCCTCAGATGAGAAAAACAGTCCTTCCCGTCTCTGGGTTTCCAAAGACAGTCAGGAAATCCAGTGAGGGGACCCTGCTCATCTTTTTCTGGCCAAGCGCCCTCCTGCTTGGCGTGGACATCTCCAGCAGTTTTCCCCGACCCAGCCGGGCGGGGGATAACCTGAGTTCTTAGTGGGCAGATGGAGAGAGGAAGGATTCCCTCCTCCCCCAAATAACATAATTTAAAATGTAGCCTGGATGCGACCTCCCTTTGCCTGGATGCGCGCGCTCTCTCTCTTTCTTACTTAGAACTCTGGAATGTTTCGGTCTTTGCACTGGCCGCGTCTACAGGGACAAAGGCCGCGCGGCTCCAGGGAGCAGCAGTCCGTCTCGGCGGGGGTCAGAGCTGCGGCAGCCGGCAGGGCCGAGCGACTTCGTGATTTGTAAATTTAAGGTGGCAAATGCGGGTGCCGGCCGGAGCCCTGCGGCCCCCGCCGCTTGGGGAGGTCGGCTCCAAGCCCGGCTGCGCCCTGGCGTCTGAGACCGGCGGAGGGGCGGGGTGGGGTCGCCTTTTGCTGTGCTTTGAGCCGCGGGTAAAGGCGTCCGGGTTCCTGCTGACCTCCCGGCGCTAATTGCAGGGGCCGAAGGGCGCGCTCCGGCAGAGGCAGGGGTCACGACCTGTGCGCTCCCTCCTCCCGCTCCCTCCTCCCGGGTCCAGCCAGCCCGAAGGAGCGGGGCGTGTGCACGCGGGCGTGCGTGTATGAGTGAGTGAGTGAGCGTGCGTGCGCGCGCGCGTGCAGGGCCCCCCTCTGGATCTGCGCTGTCCTGGAAACCCACTCCTTCCTTGTGGGGAAAGTTCTTGGCCGTTAGGCCCTCCAAAAAATTCCATCCGAGAAGGAAAACCCTTGTTGTGACCTTTCCCCTAAACCAGCACACGGGCAGCCGCCTTCGGGCGCTGCAAGAGGTTTGACACGCTTCGCGTCCGCGCGCTTTCTGCCTCGCTGGTTTCCAAATTCGACCTCACGGCAACCGGCCAAGAGAGAGGCTGCTGGGTGTGGGTGCCAGGCCGGGACGTGGGCTCTTCTGTACGTGGCCTCGGATGTGCGGACCTGCGGGTAGCTCTTTGGGTGTGTGAGTTCTGAGGCGCGCGTGTGCGTGTACTTGCTCGTGCCCGGTCTGCAGACGTCTCTTCCAATTTAGATTTCGAGGTGCACGCGCAAGACAGTTCCGGATGCAGATGCATTTGGTTGTTTTACAATCAAGATGCGTATAATCAAGATGTATATGTTGCAGATGTCGGCGTTCAAAGTACACGGAACGATAATAAAAGGAGCTGGCATGCAAGGGGCACGTGCGCGTGCCAGGCGCTCCGTTAAGCACCCCACCCAAGTGAGCTCACCATTAACCCCTATGAGGTGGGTATGATTTTTATCCCTGTTTGACAGAGGAGGAAACTGAGGCACACGGCAGTTAAGTCACTTAACCGAGATCACCTGGGACACTGGAGCCGGATTCCAGTCGAAGGGGACGCCAGAATCCACTTCAATCCCTCTTCCTAATTCAGGTGGAGGCGAACGTACGTACCTATGGTGCACGTGTCCCCGGCTGCAGAGAAATCTATGGGCGTGTTCCGGGTTTTCGTGTGTCTCACGCGCCCTTTGGAGGAGAGAACATTTTCATTTCTCTGGGCATCGGTCTAGCAGTGGGAAAAGTGCAGCTTCTTTTAGGTGTTCCATTCCCCCGCCCTCTCTCCCCGAAGGAGCCATCCGGGCGAAGACCAAAGGCTTGATGAAGCGAGGGGTGCACGGGGAGGGGGGGGGGCAAAACCCCATTTAAAAATGCCTGTGGCGGGGCCCAGGGGCAGAAACCGTGTTCTCATTCTGATCTGAGTTGAGAGCCAGAGGGAATGACAGCGGGGCCGGCCTGTGCCAGGCCAGGCAGGGTGACCCCGCTGACTCCAGAGTGTTGCCTCCCCCGCGGGGTGGGAGAGGGACACTCGGGCTTGGGGTGTCTTGGGCGTCTCGACTCCAGGCCTCGGATCCTCCCTCTCTTCCTACATTCGCTGCGCTCCATGCGCCCAGGCGCCAAGGCCGGGGACTGCGTGCAGGTGGGGACCGCGGGCATCAGCACCATTTGTTTCCTTCCACCCTGCCCAGCCTCCCGGAACCTAAGCGAGCTCAGTCGTCCCTGCCCTCTTCCGCTCAACTCTCTGGCCTCAGCTGGGAGCTCAGCTCGTGGGGAGAAAGATTCTGCGGTGAAGCGGGAGAAGGGGTGTTTCGTGCACAGCCCTGCGTAGCAAAAGGGGTGCCTGATTATGGCGCGGCGCGGCCCAGCTTCCTGCAGCTTGGGCGTCCGCAGGCCCCACGCACCTGGAGAGCCAAGGCCGGGTGGGCTGCAGGCCGGGCAGGGGTGAAACGACACATTGCTGGAGTAGGGACTGGCCACCCCTCTTCTCTGCCCCAAGCCGCAAAACGCTTCCTGCCGGGCAGCTGAGATGAAGTCAGGCTGCCTTTGCGTCTTGGATCGAGCAGCTTCGGCTCCGTCCCTGGAATGGGAGGCGCGTGGGGGCTTAGTGAGGGGACATTGGGACCATCCCGAGCTGTCCGGGTCTCCACCCCACCCCAGCCCCAGTCCAAAGTCCCCAGTCAGCCGGTCTCTTTGAGCTTTTGAAATGCGATCTCCCGCGCCACTTCGGTTTCCCGCTAATGACCCCGGCTCTGGTTTCGGGTTGGGGAATTGCACTTGGTGGTGGTGGTGGGGGGGGGAAGGATTGCTCCCCCAGGCCCGCGCCAGCCAACTCTCGCCTAGGCGCTCTTCCTGCCGGCGCGGTGCGCCCCTGCCCCCTCAAGGTCCCCAAAGCGTCCTGGATACCCAAGCACGGAACTGACACTCGCTCGCCTGACTTCCTTTCCGCCACTTTGGCGGTGCGGTTCGCCCCCGGCCCGTGTGTCGGCATCTTTCACTTCGGCGGCTGTAGCTCCGGGAGAGGGCCAGCTGTTTGTGGGCGTGACTTCGTCGCACCCCCCACCCCCCACCCCGTCGCCCGGTCCCCCAGTCCTTCCAACACAGGCTTGGAACCGAGGTGTGAGCCTGTTAGGGGAGCCAGCCGAACAGTGGACCCATCATCCCGGGTCCACCCGGCCTACCCCGTGGCGCCCAGTCTCCCCAAGGCCAGCACCGGTTAGCTAATTGGGTATTTATTCTCTAGGGTGGGCGCTCTTCAAGGAAGCCAGAGCTCACGACTTCAGGGAAGCCGCAGAAATCACAGAAGTTTGTTCCTGCGCATATATTGGGATTTGGGGGCACGGGAGCCCTGCGATTTTGCCCAGAGTCTTGGAGACGCGTGAGCCCAACCAAATGAAGAACCCCTCGCTGCCCTGGGGACAAAAAGAAATGAGAGGAAGTTTTCAGGTGGTCCCTGGGGACTCTTGTCTTGGCCAGGTCAACCTTAGCTTAAGGGACTAATTCCATCTTTCTAACCTTCTAGAAGGACACTCTTTCCTTGCTTATTTTGAAGCCAAGCCTCCAGACCCCCAGGGCCCCAGG